AGCCCTCAACAGAGCCTTCCCCAGACTCCAGGACTGGCCCAAGTTCCTCCCCAACCTCCTCACTGTCCGAATCTGCTGCCAGATCCACTGGCCACTGGTGGACAACAAGAAGATCTCAACACCCCTTCCTCCAACTCAAGACTCGCCTTTTTTATAAGGTTATGCAATCTTTGTCTTTATGGCAGCTTCCTTACAAGAGTTCAAATTTTCTGCTTAAGAGGCAAACATTTTTCCTGCTGATTTCTTTCCAACATGCATCGTGAGGCCGTTTTAATTCCTGACTTACTAAAGGCAGTTTCTTTTTAAGTAATGTGTGTGACTTTCTTTAGAAATGCAACACGACCGTGTCAGCATTAGGTTTCTGCCTGAAAGTTGACCTCTTGCTAAATTACAGGGGGGATTACCCTCAAACCCATTTTTCTTCTCCTTGTTAGCTCGTGACTGGAAAACACCTGGCTGCATTTAAAACCAGATTTTGTGCTTTACGCAATAGAGGCTGATCTGCAAAATGGATTTCTATCGGCTTTTCAATTTCCAGAGAGATCAATTGTACTGTACCTTCCTTGGAAAATATCTTCTCATCCTGACAGTCCTCCGTGCTGCTGAATGGATTATCTTTGTCACAGTTGACCAAGAGGATGGCACCTTGGCCGTCGGGGCCCCAGGTCCACGTGGCCTGGAAGGGCAGAATTTCACATTTAAGCAGATCAATTCGGGCAAGAGATTTATCTATGACATTATTTATCTATCTCTGGAGCCGCATGTGGCTCTTTCATCCCTCTGCTGCGGCTCCCTGTCGCTGGTTGGCTCCACCAGGTAAAAGGGACAGTCTCCCCTTTCTGCTTCAGCGTCTGCAGGTGTCTTAGCCCAAGAGGGGGGAAAAAAAGAGATTTCAGAGAGGGAACAGTAACTCAACCGAGGGAAATCACTGTCCCAGCAGGGGGGCCTGGAGCAGCATTGGGGAATGAGTGCCAAATTACGCAAAGGGGGCCAAACGCGGCGGGCACCTTTGCCAAGAAGGGGGTGAGGGCTCTGTCGAGCCGAATGCCTTGCAGGCTGCAAAAGAATGTCCTCAGCTGAACCTGTCCCCCCTCGGCTTCCTGCTTGTGGAGAAAGCTCGCTTTCAGAAGCTGGGGAGTGGGACTCTGAACCAGGGACCCTATCCTCAGCTCCACCCATTTCACAACATTGCCCCCAGGAGCCAAAAGGAGAGGAAGGCGCTGTGAATCCCGAGAGACGGAGAGGAAGCAGGCAAAATACAGGGGAAAAAATGGAATTGGAATGTAGGCTAAAATTTTGCCTCTTAATTAAAATGAGTGGTAGAAGACACTTCTTCTTATTCTTCCTGACCCCTTCCCCCCAAAAAGGGGAACTAAACACCCACAAAGCAGCAGGAATGCAATTGTCAATTTAAACTTGAGTGAGCATGCAACAATTTTTTGGTTAGAAGTCCTTGCTCGGCTCCATTTGGTAGAAATGTTAACAGTTTAACGCAGGGGTGAAATTCAGCGGGTTCTGACAGGCTCTGGAGAAACGGTAGTGGAAATTGTGAGTAGTTCGGAGAACTGGCAAATGTCACCTCTGGCTGGCCCCAAAGTGGGGAGGGAATGGGGATTTTGCAGTATCCTTTCCCTGGAGTGGAGAGGGAATGGGGATTTTACAGTATCCTTCCTCTTGGAGTGGGGAGGGAATGGGGATTTTGCAGTATCCTTTCCCTGGAGTGGGGAGGGAATGGGGATTTTACAGTATCCTTCCCCTGGAGTGGAGAGGTAATGGGGATTTTACAGTATCCTTCCCCTGGAGTGGAGGTGGGAATGGAGATTTTACAGTATCCTTCCCCTGGAGTGGGGAGGGAATGGGGATTTTACAGTATCCTTCCCCTGGAGTGGAGAGGGAAAGGAGATTTTACAGTATCCTTCCCCTGGAGTGGGGGTGGGAATGGAGATTTTACAGTATCCTTCCCCTGGAGTGGGGAGGGAATGGGGATTTTACAGTATCC